TCCGGGGGGCCACTTCTGTGACCTCGGGAGCAAACACCCGGTGAAGCTGCCCTCTCCTCGTGTCTCAGGCCTCCTCTCTCCGAGAAGAGCGTGGGGGTCGGGGAGAGACTGCTTCTTCCCGAGGGCGTGACTGGAGACCGGGCAAGACGGTTCTGCCAGCGGTGGCCTTGGCCCAACCGTCCCTCTGCAGTGCGGGAGAGCGGACGGCAGTTTCCCAGGACGGCGTCTCTGGGCGTGAGACTCATCCCCTGCGGCTTCCTTCCTCCCGACTGCACAGTCAATAACCGCGGTGACAGTGGCCTTCCAGTATCCTCCCATCTCCTTCCTATTTCTGAGTAGCTTGTGAGCACGACAGTCCGGAGCTGACATCAAAGAGGGGCTGCCCCTGTGCCCCCCCCCCCCGCACCCCGGGCCACCCCCTCACCTGCCCGATGGTGCCAGAGAACGTCCAGGCCCCCACGGCCCCAGCAGCGTGGCTGGAACAGGAGACACACAAACGTCACCTGTACCCTAAGGTGGGGCACGGGGGCGATGACAATGATCGGCCAGGACCCTGGGGACCCGAGACCCGGGCCCAGACAGTGACCGGGGCCTTCAATCTCTGCCCTGAGCTTCTCTGTCCTGCCCCATGAAAGCAGGGCGTTAGGGTCCCAGTGTGGCAGGGAAGAGACCATGCGTATTCCTCCCCTCTCCTCCTCAAAACCCCCCGCAGCCATAAAGCAACTGCTACAGAAGTATACATCCACAAGAGAAGGGGAGGGAGGAGAGGGACGGGGAGATTTCCAGAAGATGCTCTCCTGCCTGACAGAGCGGGGAAGGGACACTGAGCCCGGGGGGAGGGAGGGGGCCCTGGAGGCAGCAGCGGGGAGGCTTCGGGAGGCAGGGGCAGAGCCCTGCACCTGCCGTGCTCCGGGACTGAGCTGCCCCCATGACCCTGCTGGGGAGCACGGACGGGTCCTGCCCTCGCCGAGGTCTTATCTACATAACCCAGAGCAAGGGCAGCATCGAGGCACTGATCTGAGCGGGGTTCGAAGAGACGACGAGGCGGGGACGGGGGGGACAGGGGTTCAGGGCAGGGGGCCCGGCCCCCCCGGACAGCGTCTCCGTGCTTATTCCAGATGAGCGGTCAAGGAAACCCTGCCGGCGAAGGGGACATTTAGGCGGAGGTCGGCGGCAGGAAGAAGCCAGGGAGGGAGGGGAGTTTCAGAACAGGAACAAGAAGCGACGATCCGAGGACACGCAGCAGGAGCGCGCTGGGTGTGCTCCGGGGGCCTAAGATAAGGGGGTCTGCCGTCACCTTTGCTCGAGGAATAAATCGCTTCACAGAAGGTGAGTCTGTCTACGAGAGCCAAGGGTGAGGCCGGGCCGGACAGCTTTGTCAACCAGGCGCCGAATGTCACAGCGAAGGGCGAGGAGAAAGGGGATCCGACGGCCCCCCGTGATGTCCCGAGAAGACCCCTCTGGCTGTTGCCCGAGGACGGGGCGCGGGCACGGAGACCGGCCGGGAACATCTCCAGCCACCACCCGGGAAAAGTATTTATTGAAAGGTCAGGCTAAGTGACTGGGACAGCAGAAGGAGGTCAAGGAGCCAGCAGTTTGGAGGACGGTCGTCGGGGCAGGGGGGTTACGGGACAGCGGCTTAGACTGGCGGGTGTTCTGGAAGGGGGGGAGGGGGCGGTGCAGGCAGGTGTCTCGGAAAACATGGCCTTCTAGCTCCGGAAGCGGATGGACGGGGTGCCGTTTGCGGAGATAGAGAACAGGCGGCTGGAGGGGGAGAAAAGTTCCGTCCTGGGCACGTGGCCTGTGGCACGCCTGCTGGAGCCCACGTGGATGCCAGGTAGCTGGCGGGCAGTCCGGCAGGGAGATCGGGCCGGAGCCACCGGAGGACAAGCTTCCCGGGAGAGGACGGGGCTCAGGGGCAGCAGTGTCCACGGCTGGGCAGAGGAGAAACCCACAGTGAGGGTCAGGGGTCCCGGCGGGGAGGCCGAAAAGGACCGGCCGCCGGGGAGCATCCGCCCCGGGAAGGACACAGCGCCCAGGACACCAGCTTTCAGGAAGGCGTCGGATGGAAGCGACAAGGTCTCCTACGTTACGTGCCTCACAACCCAAGCCGGAGGAGGCCACGGTCCTCACTGTGACAGACACCCTCTGCGCCCGGCCCTGCCGCCCCCGGGGACCCCGCCGGGGAAGCGGGAGAGGGAGTGTGTTTCACGCTCCTCGGGTCCCCGTGGAGGGACGTGTCCTGAGCACACGCTCTGCCTTCTCCCGGACTCCCGGGGGTGTTTGCCAGCAACGATGAGGCAGCCGAACTGGGCTCAGCTCTTCCCTTCTCCTCGTGGGCCCCAGCCGGGCTGCCCCGACTCCGTGAGGCCCACGCGCCCCCTCAGTGGGGCGGGGAAGCCGCCCGATCGGTGGAATTCGCGGAAGCCCCCTTGACAAATACACCTAATGCCGAATCCTCCCATTTGGCTGCCACCAGTGATAAAGGTGCCGTTTGCCTCCAAAATTATTTTCTTACTTGTTATTTCAGCGTGTTTAGAATCTAGTCGGGGGAGAAATGAACTATTTATTGGGAGCCCCCTCAAAATGCCAACAGAAATAAAAGGACCACCATGTAAGGACATATCCGACCATAAGTGTATATCGGATGAACTAATAATGTACAAAGCTTCTCATTAGCGTGGTCTTGACCAGGAATTGGAAGTGAAGCGAATCCACATCAATTTCAGAGAAGCTGGAAACAATGTGTCACATCCGTACCACCAACCGTAGGAGCCCTTTAAAAATAATTAGCTGTGCGAAGTAATTTGACGGGATTTCCGCAAATTATTTTTCAACGAGAAAACAAGAGGCCAAAACTATGTACTAATGCTGCTTTGCATAAATAACTCAGGCAAATATGTTGTTTGTGAACATGCGTTACACGGGAGGAAAGCAGGGGAGACAAATCGGGTCCTCGGCCGCCGCTCACCGCCGGGGGAGCGCACACGGATCTCCCCACTTGCTCTGTTCTGTGACGGATGGAGAGTCAGAAGTCATCATTCAGGGCGGGCGAATCTAGTAACGGGGACAGACGTATATTTAAAGACACGAAAGTAAACACCAAGAGAAACAAGCAAATAAAAACGGGGCGATGATAACGAGTAGAAGGGAGAGAGGGAAGATATTTTTAAAATTCGCTGTCATCATTTCTGCGCTGACAGCAGGAGCCAGCGGGCTCCCTCGAAGGAACAGAGGACAAGCACTTTCTGCTGAGATGCATTGAAGACCAGCTCGGAGGAAAGGCCTCAAAAAATACCAGAAACGCAACTGGACGGTAAAACATCTGGTCACTCAGTAAACGGACAAAGGTCTCGAACAGACGGTCTTCCTGGGAGGAGCCACAAACGTCAAGCGAGCAGAAGAGACGCCCTCGGCCACCGGCCAGCGACGCCTTGCCTGGCTCCTCGGGGCTCGAACCGGCCGTCGGGGGCCAGCACGTGCCGGGGAGAGATCGGAACACACAAGCGTGCGGCCACTTTTGGAAAACCTCCCGGTGGCTCTTCCGACGGTGACACGCGGGCTTCCCAAAGGCCCCAGCAAGTGCGCACGTGGTACGGTGAGCCCTCCTTTAGGATCAGGAGGAGTGGAGTGTGTTGCACGGGTCGTGAGTGCAGCAGACCCCGTTGATGGAGCCTGGCGGGCCCCAGACCCTCCCCCGCAGAGCCCTGCCCCCCAGGGAGGCTCACCCAGGACACCGGCTGCTTAGCAAGCTGGTTTCAGCCGCGTGTTGAACGTAACTTTCTAAAACTAAAGTGGGGGACACCTGGGTGGCTCAGTCGGTTAAGCATCCGACTTCAGCTCAGGGCATGATCTCACGGTTCATGGGTTCGAGCCCTGCGTCGGGCTCTGTGCTGACAGCTCGGAGCCTGGAGCCCGCTTCGGATTCTGTGTCTCCCTCTCTCTCTCTCTGCCCCTCCCACGCTCACGCTCTGTCTCACTCTCTCTCTCAAAAAATAAATAAACATTAAAAAAAAATTTAAAACTAAAGTGGTGCTGCCTCACAACTCACCTGCTGCCAGCCTCGCAGAAGCGACGCGTGCCTTCAGAAACAGTGCAGGGGGCCCTGGGTTCACTGGGAGGGACACAGGGGGCCCGTCCACCCCCAAGCCTCCGCATCTGTAGACCACCGGGTCTCTGGGCTCCTTTCCCTCAGGAAACTTGTGTTTCATCCCTGGAGGCCACATCCTGCATGGGGGACACTCACGTGTCCTCCAGTGACAACTTTCTGGGTACCCTTAGATCCTGAGGCACGAGGACACTCCAGAAGATGCCCGGATGTTGGGGCCGGCCAGGTCCGAGGGGCGAGCCGCACACGGCTGTCACCTGCCCTCAGACACACTGGGGCGCGGAAGGAGACTCACAGGGCGGCCCGGAGACATCTTCCAGTATCCGAGCCGCCATCGTAGAAAAGAGGGAAAATCATTTGTGTGTGGGGCCCCGAGGCGTGGAATTAGAAATCTGGGTGGGAAATGCATGAAAGCCTGCCTGGGAATCAGCAGAAGCAGCCCTTGCTGGCGTGAAAGCTGCTGGATCAGGGCCGCCCTCGGCGGGGGGCGGGCAGGCCAGCTCCCCACAGTGGCTGGTCGGGGGGGGGGATGGCCAGTCCGGGGCACGCGGGCCGTGGGAGCCAGGGCTGAGGCCACCATCGCCGCCACCCCGGGGCCCGTTTGCCGTCTTTCCTCTTTCAGCCCAACCTCCTCCCCGCAGCCTCGATTCACTACGCTGGGAGCGTGCCTAGACGCCCTCTGCAAAGACCAGCGATGTGTCTCCGTGGCTCCTTAGAAGTCGTGCTGGAGGCCCCGGAGGAGATGGGCTGAGCCGCACCCTCAGGATTCCCGGGTTCCTAAAGGGTGTGTGGCCCCCACGTCTTCCTCAGCATGGGACTGACGCCCCGATCTGCCCTCAGCCTCAGTGAAGCCCCTTGGGGGAGCCAACCGGACTTCAAACCAGGGGTGCTGGACGAACACCTTGGGGTCCCCTGAGGCCCCGGTCCCCCCCCCCCCCGGAAGTCCTCTGTTTCAGTCCCGAATCCCCGCACGTCACTCGCTGTGCACCTGCGGGCAAGGTCCTGGGCCTCTCTGTGCCCGCGCCCCCCTGTGCGGGGCACGGGGGGACAGGCTGCGTCCGCTGCCCTGGTGGGCGCCTGTCAAGCGCGGGGCTGGAAGCGGGGCCGCCGATCTCGGGTTTCTCCTCCTAGCCGCGCTGCCTGCCGACGGCAACACCCACGCTCCGCGGAGACTGCCACATCCTGGCCCCCTCTCCCTCGTCGCCATGGCGAGACGAGAGCCCCGACCCCGTCACGACCGCCCGGCCCCACCCCCCGCCCCCCCCCCCGGCCCCCGCGGAGCCCGTGGGAAGCCCGGCCTGCAGACCCCCGGTGGGCTCACTGCCGATCGTCCCCTTTGTCTGTGTGAGTCTCTCCCAGAAAAGGTCCCGGCCGATCTAAGGTCGGCCTGAGCCTCGGCGACGCAAGTCAGGTCACCTCTAAGGATGGCATCGGGGGCCGGGAACACCTGAGTGTCCAGCGTGGAGACGAGGGGCTGAGACCCGTCCAGGCACAGGGCACGTCGGGCGGGCACTCGGTCGAATCGCTCACACACGTGCGCTCACAAAACCCAGGTGACGAGCCGAGAATAAGAGAACGTATCGTTCCCACTGTATGGATAAGTAAACTGAGGCTCTGACAAGCAAGAGACAAGCCTGTGGTCAGAGAGGCATCCATCCGGCCCAACGCCATCCGTCCAGGAACGCAACCCCAAAACTGCCTCCCGCCTCAAGCTCAAGCTCTGGCTTACAGCTCTGCTTCCCAGGCCTCCAGGCCTCCAGGCCTCCGTCGATGGGCCGGGCTGAACACTGGTCCCCGAAGACAGCAGGTCCAAGGCCCAGAGCCCACGGAGCAGCCTCATAAGGAGAAAGGGCCTCTGCAGGTGCGAGTAAGGACCCTGGCCTGGGGAGGTCGTCCTGGCTCATCAGGGCGGGCCCCGAATCCAATCACAGTGCCCTTCGAAAAGAGAAGCAGAGGGATTCAGCACCAGAGGACGAGGCAGAGACGGGACGGACGGGGCCACGAGCCAAGGAAACCTGGAGCTCTGGGAGCTCCCTGGGGCGCTAGGAGGAGCGTGGTGTTGCCCACAGCTGGATTTGGGACTTCTGACTTCGGGAGCTCGGAGAGAATAAGTTTCTGGCGTTTTCAGCGCCCCCACCCCCGTTTGCGTTGTCACAGCCTCCCCCCCCTCCCCCGCACAGTGTAGGAATAAAGGTGCAGACTCTGCGGGGGAGGAGCTCTCCCCACGGGACTCTTCTCGCCCCGGTGTGCCCGGTGGACCCGAAGACGGGGATTCCCTTCTCCAGTGTAGACGTTCCTCTGGGCTCCAGACACACGTGCCCCCAAACCCACTTACCATTCCCGGTTAGGTGTCCCCATCTCAAGTCCGGCACGTCCGAACGGGGTCCTCGTTCCCCAACACTCCTTCCCCGGTTTTCTCATTGGCCAGGGGGGCGGGGCACGTCTTCTGCTTTCTTCACACCCGGCAGCCGTCCTAGGGACCAGCGATGGTGACCCCGCCTCCGTGGCCCACACCTGCCTCCCCATCCCCGGCCTGGTCCAGCCGCAGCCACGCAGAGCATCCCGGCGGCTGCTGGAGAGCAGGCCCAGAGGCAGGCAAGGGTCGACAGACTCCTGCTCCGGCCCAAGTTGTGGGGGCAGAGCATGAGGCCCCAAAGGGACAGGACCGTCACCCGCCGGCCGGCTGCTCCGGAAAGGCAGGGAACACGTCAGCCCGAGACCTCAGAGCGAGTGGCTCTCAGGGACCAGACCATCCACCGGCTCGGCTCCCCGACGGCACCCGTACGACATCCGGCAAACGGTATCTTCCCAGTAAAATCTGCTGACTGTGGGAGTGGGGAGGCCCTCAAGGTGGGCTGGGCTCCAGCTATGAGCCACCATTTTCGCCACCGATCCCGAGGCCCCGGAATCTGGATGACTCCTCCTGGGACCTCCGGCACGGCCGGCCGCCAGGCTTCCCTGGGGGTCTTTACTTCCTCGCACCTGAACTGGGTGGTTCGGGGGTGACCGGGTGGGCCTGCTGACCAATGTCCACACGTGCCTTCCCCGTGGCCCCGGCGCCCCCAGCGTACAGCTGGTTCTCACGGACACGTGGCCCCCCCGGGGGAGCACCCGGCCCGGGCGTCACCTCCCTCTCTCAGAGTGGCCCAGACACCCGGGTGCAAGGCAAGAGGCCACAGGCCCCACCCCCGGAAGAGTGTCCAAGAACCGTCCCCTGGCCTCTCAACAGCTGTCGTCAGGAACCCAGGCAGAGGTGGGGTGGACACCTGCGTTCGTGCGGCCATAGCAAAACAGCACACAGGCCGCTTCAACAGACATCTATTTTCTGGTTCTGGATGCTGGACGTCCAGGACCAAGGGGTCCACAGGCCTGGTTTCTCCTGCGGCCCCTCCCCTCGGCTTGCAGATGGCCGCCCTCACCTAGTCCTCCCCGGTGCACGCGTGTGTCCTAACCTCCTCTTCCCATGGGAGCACCGTCGCATCGATTGGGGCCCACCCGGAAGGCCTCACTTGACCCTAATTAGCTCTTTAAAGACCCCATCTCCACATCTGGAGGTACGTGGCTTCAGGACTCTGAAATAGGAGTTTTGTTGATGGGGACAGGATTCAGCCCTTCACGGTGCCTGACATGCGCCTCCGGGACTGAGACGAGGCCCTGGTCCTCTCCAGCTGCCCCTCTGTTTTCGGGAGGGTGGGCGCCGATCCCAGGGTGTCTGTCCTCTGACGCCGATGGAGAGGACAGTGCCTGGAAGAGGCACAAACAGGCCAGGAGTCAGAGTCTCCGCCCGATTGCGGAGCCACCGTAAAAGGAAACCGCGCCCTCCTTCCAAGTATAAGCCGAGCCTGGTGCAGGCTCTCGCCAGCAGCTTGCCCTGTGGGGTCAGAAACCCTGCTCTGCCTGAGCTTTCAGGGTCCCGGCTCCAGTGCAGGTTCTGGGCAGGAACCTCACA